AATAAGGATAAGGCTATTTGTATATCCAAATGTGTACAGATTTATTCACACATTCCATGTGTCAAAAATTTAGCCATTAATTGAAAAAATGTGTTGTTAAGATCAATATATTGAAATTTGTCAACTAGCTAAAGTGTAAATCATTGTGTACATCTAGCATAGCCCTAATAATAATATCGATGGTATAATATTTAATTATTTATTAATTTTATAATGTTATATTACATATTTAATACTAAATAATTTATTCATAACTTAATTCGTGAAATAATAAAATTAAAGGTTGATTGTTGAATTTGAAAGTCAACGAACAGGTGTGAGTATAATTTTCTCCAGAGATAGGAAATTGGGAACACCGCATAAATCTTTAATTTAAAAATCACATTTCAAAACTAACAAACTTCTTAAAATCTTTCGAAAATCAGGTGATAATTAAATTTATTAAATATTTAATTGTAATTGTATGACGAAATTTCGTGTATTAAAATACAGAAATCGTTACAAATTATCTTTTGATAACTACAAGTGATGTTAACCTTCTTATAATTGCAAAGTTGTAAAAAATTTCTTATTAATGATCTGGATATTTGAAGACGAAGGGCCACGTAGCTTGATCTTGATCTTCAAAAATTTGTTAGAAATTTGATTTGTCGAGACTTGTCGTGTTCGGAACTTGAATCTTGAGGCTTGGACTTAGACTTGAATTTGATTGGATTTGAAGGAGACTTTGATCTTCTTCAACTTGATGTGAACCTATTTGATTGGAAGAAGATTTTAATTTTCTTGGGGTTCACCGAGTTCAGATTTGAAAGAATTTATTCCCTTCTTTTAGTCTTAGAATTTCTTCAACATTTCATGGCGTTATTTACTTTCTTTCTTGCTTCTTCTTCACCTCTTCATCTCTTATGGACCATTGATCCTATTTATAGGAGAAAATTTGTCCTAATTTTGGTAATTACTCAATTAGATGAATAATTGAGGAATTGTGATTATTCATTCATTTATTTAAAGAGTGAAATGGGCATTTGAATTTATGGACTTTAGTAGACTTCAATTTAATTGGGCCAATAGTTCAAATCGACCCAATCCATTTTATTTATTATTATTTTTGTCTACAATAATATAATATAATTAATCTATTTACTCCACCCTCACCAACCTATCATATCGAACTCAACCCTACCCCACCTCTGGCGATCGGTCCGATGGCAATTCCGACGATCTCTTCGGCGACCTCCCAATGATGATTCCGATAATCGCTCACATTTTCGGCGATTACTTTTTTTCTTTTATCTTCTTTTTTGGCGATAACCTGTGACCAGTTCCATTGGATTTGTGACCTATGCACATTATGATCTGAGACCAGTTCTATATAATCTGTGACCTAATCAGGTGGGATGAATATGCATATGATCAATTTCAAAATTAAGAAATAAAGTTTGAAATTTCAAAAATCAAATATTTTTAAAATTTTAGTTATGAAATAATTAATAAAAAAATATTTTTGTAATTTAATATATTAAATTCACAAATTTTTTTCCCTTTTCTAGGACAATAACCTGTGACATGTGTACATTGTGACATATAAAATATGATTTTTAACATGTAATTTGTTACATGTGACTTGTAACATAAAATGTGACCTATAAATTTGATCTGTGACTTCTACAAAACAACACATAACTTGTTAATATTGATCCGTAACCCATTTATACTGATTTATATGAAATGACTGTGACCTGTGAACTCAAACTTGTGACCAGTGAATTATGACCTTAACGACGAATTGTGACCACATGTAGTACTAGCAATGAAACCACTGGCTAAGTCAATTTAAATTGTATCTGTATGTGACTCACTGTTAATTTGATCACATACAATCACAACTAGTCACAATTAACACAGATTTGATCACAATCAGTCACAATTAACATAGATTTGGTCGTAGGAGGTCACCACGAACAAATTCACACACACCGCAGATTAGCACCACAATGCATCACTAGCAACCACCACTATCATCTCCAACTCAAAATACTACCTTTAACTAAACCTTATGACAAAAAAAAAAAAATCCTTCTTTTACCTTAAATCCACAAAAACAATCACCACCACCATCACTTCTACCAACAATCAACATATAAGTCCCCAATTTCTTTAATTTTGGAATTCTTCAAGGATGTCCTCCACATATTAAAAAATTATCATGATGGAAAGTTATTGGGCCAATTATGTAGTTGGACAAACTACATATCACGATTAACATAGATAGAATTTATAACAATCCATAACAATTAATAGAGACTTAGTCACAGAGGGTCACAGTTAAACATATAAATGGTTATCACCACCAGTACCAACACTCTACCACTACCATCGCATCATCACCAACACTGTATCACTATTATAAATGATGTTTTACCCACTTATAAACTTTAAAAAGCTTGACAAAACATACTCAAACAAAATTGGGATGGTGAAAACAAATAAATTGAAGAGATGAAAGAGATTTGCATAACATTTATCAATGCAATATTTTCATATGGCTTTGGATGATGGATGGCAGCTTGATTATGGGAGACAAAAGGCACACCTGACAAGGAACTCAATGGTGATTGGTTTTTCGTCAAAAGTGCAATCCATAGCATTGTTGGAGGAGAAATAATCGTGTTTTTTTATTAGACACCAACAAAACTCCTTTAACCCATCTTTGTCAAAAACCTACTCATCCTTTAAGCCACAGTCCCCAACAACTCCACTGTCAAACACAGCATCTTCAATTGTCAATAAGAAATTAAAACCCCATTAATACTCCACTTACATGGTATTAAAACAATCACTATTTCTCTAGCAAAGCCCCATAAATTTGTAAATTTCCAATTTATCACAAGCCCCATCTTTAGTTGCCAATAGTGACTTTGAAATGTCATTCTACTCCACTGTATGTAGCCTGTCCCGCTACACGCTGTCTAACTTTTTCTTCCAAAGCCCCCATAATGACACCAGTCGTCAGTGTAAATTTTGTTCTATTTTTTTGGTCATCAGAGCCAACTATTTTTGAGGATGTGTGTGATAAGGAGAGAGAAAAAGTTTAGATATGGTTTCTATGTTAAGGAGAGAGAAATAGTGAGACATGAGATTAATAAATGTTAAATAAATAATTAACCACTAATTTGTGAAAAAAGTTTTAAGATTTGATATTTGAAATGTATACTTAAAATGTAGGTTTTTGGGTAATTTTTTCTAGTAAATTCCTACGTGTGGAAATTACACAAAACCATAATTTAAAAATTCAAAATTTCCAAATTAGGTGGGAAGTTTTATATTTCATAAATTAGATTTTTTTTATTATTTAAATAAACTAATTACCCAAAAAAAAAAAAAACCCTACAACCACTACCCAGCCGTTACTACCCACCATTCTCTCTCTCTCTCTTCTTTGGTGATAATGTAGCCCTCTTGCCGCTACTGTGAAAACGCCTCATTTTGCCATTCTCCGACCGCTGCAGTAAAAAGCTGCGTTGTTGCCTTTCTTCGCCCGCTGCAATTCTTCTTCCTTGATCAACTATTGTAGCCATTTTTGCTTCCCAAAAATAAACCCCGACATGTTTTGGCGAGACATTCACAATCGAAAGAAAGGAACCACTACATGAGGTGCGCACATCGGGATCGCAATCTCCGTCCCCAGATCTGACGGTAGTGTCGACCCCATTCTTATCAGAACCCTTGTCGAAAATTAATTAAATAGATGTTTAGAAATCCATATCTGAGGGTTTGTTGGTGATTGTGGTGGCGATGTTGATTTTGTTGGTGGTTTGAGCGACGATTTTGTTTGTCACAGCCACTGGTATAGGTTCTGAAATTAGGTGTGTTGATAATGTTTGTGTGGTGTTGGTGGTGATGGTGTTTGTGAGGTGGCTGTGTCGGGTGGTGTTTCTGTGGTGGCAATTTTGGGTGTGGGTGACAATTTTATTGATGGATTGAAAGTTATGGTCAATGTGGTGGTAGTTTTGAAGGTGATGGTAGTGATGATGTTGTTGGAGGCAACGTTGAAGTGGTGATCGTAAATGTTGGTAATGGTCACAGATTATATGATTGATTGTGACTAGTGAATTGGTTAATTTGTGACCAATAAATAATATATTATCAATGAAAAATATAAATTGTGATTAAGAGATAACGTGTGACCTAAAAAATTAATAATTTATGTCTGTTTAATAAGTTTTGAAAAATAATATTTGTGATCTATGATCTATGTTTTTTTTTGTGATCGAAAAATAAGTTGTGACTTATAAATTTTTTTATTTGTGATCGAAAAATAAGTTGTGACTAATAATTTGATAAATTTTGACTAAAAATTAATCCATGACTAATTAATTAATTTTTTGAGTTGTGACCGATGAACAAACTGTGACCTACAAAATTTTTAAATTATGATCGTAAAATGATTATAACATAAAATTTCTTATTTTTGACCAAAAAATAATAAGCGATTAATTAAATTGTTAATTTGTGACCAAATTGTATAGATATGTGACATAAATATATTTAATTAATAATAATAATAATTAATTAATTAAATTATAAATAAATTGTAATAAAAATTTGAATTTTGAAGTTTGAAATTTGTTTTCTTAAATTTAAAATAAACTAGGCCCCCGTTTAATCCCCATTAAATTAAATTACATTACATTCAATTTTTCTCTCTCCTATTTTCAACCACACAATCTTTCATAAAATAATATTACACGTAAATCGAAAATTTTTCATTTTTTTTGAGCCACTCATTTTTCTAAAAAATATTATTCTTCCTATTTTCATTTTCAGATAATGGGGGTCATACGGGGGCTAAATCTCCTACATATGATATTTTCATTTCATACATTCAGCTCTAAATTTGTTGGGCCTTTATGCAATTCATCGAAATAGCCCAGATCACTAATGGGCTCACTAAGCCTATCCAACCCCAGGGCATCCAAGAATGGCTGTGCTCAAATTTTCATTTTCTCTGCCGCATTTCTCTAGGGTTTTTCGTAAGCCCCGACTCTCTCTCACACACACTCTTACTCTCTCGCAGTCTCGAAGTCTCTTGCACAGAATTTACTTTTTTTCCTTGGATCATGTTAATTAATTTCTGAATTACTCGAATAATAGGCTAAAGCTCAGAGCTTTAGAAACAGGTTTTTCGTATCTATATCGTTTTTATTGAGAAAAGGGGAAAATGGCTACGGTAAATCCATTTGATCTTTTGGGTGATGATGACACCGGGGACGTGAGCCAATTAATTGCTGCTCAGCAGCAGAAGCCTCCGGTTTCGGCTCCAGCTTCACCCGCAACCAAGAAGGCTCCTGCTCTGGCCCAGCCGGCTAAGTCCGCCGCTAAACTTCCTTCCAAGCCTCTCCCTCCGGCTCAGGCTGGTAAGTTAATAAAATGAAATAAATGTCTTCATTTGTAATTTTTACTGGGTTATTAGATGTAAACATGTAAGAATTTACTGGATATGATTTTTTTTTTGTTGGTTGAATCAATGTAGTTGACTTACTGGGCTGCTGAGAAACTGGAGGGGAAACAATAACACTCACCACCATACATTCTGTTAATCTCCTTTATGTAATCTATGTGATCAGAATTTGTTTTCCTCGACATAGAGATTAAGAAAATGAAAGATGAAATTCTGAAGGGACTGTGTAATTGATTGTGTCTTTATATCTATTAATGTGTCTGCATGATTATGGTAATGCGTTTGCTTCTGTCTATTAACAAGTGCTTTCTCACGTTCAAAGAGACTAACACCACCTTTAAGTTTCATTAGCAGCGTTTTCATTTCTCCTGGTGCATTGCCGTGTCACAATAGGCAATTTTGCTCCAAATGAATTGAAGAGTTATGAGAAAATTGATTAAGGTCAAAAGAATTAAAAAGTCATGAGAAAATCCTAAAATTGAAAGGAAAAAGACATTCTTTTTCTTTTGGGTTCTGAAATTTTTACAAAGCTCAGAGTATATGAGATATTTTCTTTCAGATTTGCTAGTTATATTTTTTTACGAAAAAGTCTCCAGAAGTCAAGTAAGTAGAGAATTCTCTAAAGTCACTGTCTATTTGAATATCTCATGATTTATAGACTTTTGCAAAGTTTCAATTGAATACCCGTGACTTGTAGAGACTTTTTAAAAGTTTATAGTAAGTCCCAATTGAATACACCTAATGAGAGTCTTTTAAAGTCTTGGTTGAATGCAACTAAACTTTTTAAATTCTCAGAATTCTTTAAAAGTCTCGAATGAAAATACCCCTTTAAGATCTTGTCATGAGATATGGAAGCGGTTGAATTGTGGCTTGTTGAACATACGCACAAATAGCACCAATAGACATTTAATATTTATTTTATATAAATGTGAATATATGTGTTTTTTCTATAGAATGTATGTTTTTATTATTTTGTGTCCTACCTGTATGAGAAATCTTTTTGTTCACTTGTGTCTCATTTCTCATTTATGTTCTTTGCTACCTATGCGGTGTTGAATAGATTTATTATTAATTTGTTGTATGATTTCTGAATGTAATTGTTGAAGTTGTGTACTGCTAACCATTTTTCATTCATTTGCACAATGGCAGACCATCGTCACTTGTTCACTTTATATATGTCCTTGCTAGTGGAATCAGTTGTCAGTCTGTTATTCTCTGTGCATTCATATCCTGTAACAATCACTTTTATATCCTCTTAAAATCAATAATTTTCACCTGTCCATTTGCCTATTTATCCAGTCACTTCTGTCAACATGTAGTAGTAATTCTGTGTATGTTACTTCCTAGAATCGATGGAAGAATAATAGTCAATCTTTTTGCAGCCTAAATTCTAGTTTGATATTCAGTTGTATTTGGATACAAGTTTCTAAGGCTTTTCTTAATTCCTGCTTAACTTTCTTCCAATTTTGGGAAGTATCTTTAGCACAGTTCTGTAAACAAGAAGTTTCATTTGGAAAGATGTGTTATCTCGAGTTTCTCTAAGGCCTTTTGAAAGAATTTTTCATTCGGAAAAGCCCGGCTTCGTGCCCTTTATCTGCGGTTACCTGGACATTTGAAGTTGTAGGCTTCAGAGTCCATGTTGGTTGCCCATCTTTGATTGTGGTCAGTTATTCCTTTTTTTGTTGGGAAGGGATCAATCTCTTTTTTCTGCAATCATGTGATGTAGGCTACATTCCTCGTCTCTCTTGATTTTGGTTTAACTATGGGTTGCATTACTGTTACCATCATCCACATTTATGTTTGAGTTGCATTATTAGCAGCATACAATTGCAAATAATCCTTGCCTTTTAGGGCAACCTTTGTTCTGTAACTTAATTCATGAAGTAACTTGGTAAGGTTGCTTGAGCATATATTTTTTGTTGGCCCTTTGGTCTATATTTTGACACACATCTATAATCTATCTTGAGCAGTGAGGGAGGCCAGTAATGGAGGTTCACGTGGAGGAGGTCGTGGTGCTGGGCGTGGTGGTGGTCGTGGACGTGGATTTGTTCGTGAATCTACTGATGAAAATACATTTGGAAACAATGATGGATATTCTGGCAGGCAAAGAGTATCTGAAGAAGGAGATGATGGCAAGCCCTCTGAAAGACGTTCATATGGTGGACCACGTGGAGGTGGTGGTTTCCGTGGAGGTCGCCGTGGTGGTTTTAGTAATGGTGACACTGTGGAAGGTGAACGCCCTCGGAGGGCATTTGAGCGACGCAGTGGGACTGGACGTGGGTAAGGGAATTTTTACCAGCTCTCTGTATTTAGTTGTACTTTGTGCTGTAATCCACTCTATCTCTTTCTTTTGCAAGAGTTGCATACTACATTAGTTGTGTGCTTCAAAAGTTTTGTTGTCTTAGTTTTGTGTCTTATCTTTTCCTTGATGCTGTCACAGGAATGAATTTAAACGCGAGGGTGCTGGTCGAGGAAATTGGGGAACAACCACAGATGAGATTGCTCCGTAAGTGTTGGAGTCTTTGAATGTAGTGATGGATGAGAGTTTTATATGGTTCTCATATTATTTGGCACTGTTGTTAACATATCGTTGCTAAATCTAGAGAAACTGAAGAACCTGTTAATGAAGGAGAAAAGAATGTTGATGCTGAGAAGCAATTGGGACAAGAAGTTGTTGGAGATGTCGACAAGGATGCTTCTGCGCCTGGACAAGAAGCAAAGGAGGAGCCCGAGGAAAAGGTGATAGCCTTGTCCACTTCCTTCATGGAATATATATTCTTGTGCTTTTGTTACTTGGAAAAAATTGTCTACTTTTGTTCACTGAACTTGAATTAGAGATTGACTCGTACCAATTTTCCCGACCTGACTTAGAAGCAAGTGAAATCAATCTGCTTCCTTTTTTCAGTGATTGTGGTTGTCATGAATATTTTGATGTTAGCTTTCCAACTTCCAAAATTCTTTTTGACTTTTGTGCGATAAATTTTTGTTGAACCTTGGATCCTGCATAAAGCTGTTTCCATTTCTGTTCAAGGCCATTCTTTATGATGGAAAGGTGTACTATATCAATATGAGCTGAAGTTAGATTTTTCGGTTATAAGATTTGGAGATGTGGAAGTACTGGCAGTGTTCAAGTACTTTGTTTTCTGATTGCATTGATATCGATCCATTTTCTAAACTGATATACTGCATTTTATCTTGAACAAAGAAACATTGATAGAGCAATCATTTCTGTCACCTAAGTTCAGTGTCACTTAAATCTAATGTAAGGTTTGAAGTGGATGACTTCACAATTAATTTAGTTCAGTTTTTGCTGGGCATTTGAACTGGGAAGTTAATACCGTTTCTCAAAACTGAGTGAGTTCTCAGGAGGCACGGATGCACTAAAATATTAACAAATGATGTAGGGCTTGGGAAACTTTTAGGTTCTCTCATCTTGCCATGAGTTGTTATTTCCGTTTGACACCAGTAACTTATCTTGTTGGGTTCTTCACAGCATTTTCTTTAAACTGAGCTGTGTTGTTCTGCAACTAGGAGATGACGCTGGAGGAGTATGAAAAATTATTAGAAGAGAAGAGAAAGGCCTTGCTGGAAAATAAATCTGAGGAAAGGAAGGTTGACTTGGACAAAGAGTTTGAATCCATGCAACTTCTGTCCAATAAGAAGAATGATGATGAAGTATTTATAAAATTGGTCAGTCAACTGCTTCCTTAATTTTTCTTAACTAAGTTAAGACAAGTATATGGATTGTGTTTGAATTATTGATGTTTGGATAGGGTTCTGATAAGGATAAACGTAGAGAGGCAGCTGAGAAAGCCAAAAAGGTATGTCCAAAATTTCTTGATACCAGAATAGATTTACTTCTTTTACTTGAGACAAATCTGCTGCAAAATCTCTGGATTTTGGCTGGTAATTGTTGTCTGTTTTATCGTTAATAATGACATCCTGTTGTTGAAGATTATTTTATATTTTGTCCACGCAGTACTGGTTATGGAATATTGTCTATGTTGGATGTCCTGTTTCATGTATAGTTTAAGACCTTTTCGTATTTTTATCAAGACAAAACCTTGTATGACTTATATGCCTCTTATACTCCTTATAATACTGTACAATTTGGAGTGATTCTGTAGCTTGTTGCACTATCTTCCAATTTGTCTTTGAAGGTGGTTTTGTCAGTTTACTGTTGATGGTCGGGTTCTAGGCTTAGAGTGTGTGCTGAACCTGGGAAGAGCCTGTTGTTACTAGTGTGGTCTGAACTAACTGATTGGTTTAACAATTACTAAGTGCAGACTGCAGTGTATTTCATCTGGATACAAGATTGTTGTCATGTGATATAGTTAATGTTAGTTGTTTTCCCTCTTGTTACCTCTCTTGGAGTGGTTTGATACCTCTAAACGTATATTTTATGAAACATGTTTTGCTTTCTTGCAATACTTTGATCATTAGATGTGACGTGCAAGTCATCAATGTATTAAAAAGAATATAGTCCATTTGCTATTTCTAAAAGTTAACCTGAATGAGTTTTTGAATATGGTTTTGTTGCTACTAGCTAGTTTTGAGTAATTGAAAGAAACCAAAGATATATACGTGGCTCCCTCCCTTCCTTTGTGCTTTCAATCAAAATTGGATCTGTTTTTTTCTGTCATATAACTGGAAACCTTCAGTTGTAGAAGGAACACTGATCTATGTGATGGCAATGCTTATTTTAATGCTTTTTACTAAATTGCAAGATTGTGACACCATTTTTTCCCTCCAAAATTCACAGATTATCTTGTCGTTTTAAGTGGCAAGGATGTAGGAGGTTTTGTAGTTACACAATCAATCAGCGTAAATCCACTTGAAAGAGTAATCTTTTGTTGGCGTCCTACGGGATCGATCTAGCATAAAAACATGTCTGACTATCCGTTTAACGCTCATAGAACAAATCAAATAGGCTCATTGCATTCCTTAGACAATAAAGGGGAGTATTTGGTGTTTTTGTGTGAGTTCTTGCCCTGAAATTGTCTTACCGTTGCTTAGGAATGGAATAACATGCACAAAATGAAATCTGTTATGCCCAAGTGTATTATCCTTGACTGCGATTTTCATTTCTCATCAATGTAAAATAATCCTAAGCATCTGATGTAAAAACATAATTTTGATTTGACGTGAAACCAGATAAACCTAAGCCAACCCATTTACTTTAAATTAAATTAGAATTGCCAGGTTTTTTAAAATCACAAGAATAAATTAGGAGAATAGGTTTGGTATGATGAGAAGGGAAGTGATGAGTGGTATGAACTGAAGTCAACAGGATTCATCAATTCATAGATGAGAAGTCTTTGAAGATTGAGAGTTCAAAATAAACCAATTGCTGGAGTTATAATAGTAGTCGACAAATAGAGACCATCGAAGATTGATAGTTTAAAATAAACCAATTGCTGGAGTTATAATAGTTGTCAAAAAATATTGAGATGCTTTAGAGTGTAGTGGGAGATTTGCTGTCAGGCCTTGAGTTTGCTCCCCAATGGTCACTAATTTGAATCCCCTTAGGAAACTGAGGTGAGTATTCGGCTGTAAACTTCAAGGTTCCGTAGAATTAGTTAAGTGAGCGTGAGCTGGCCCGAACACTCGTGGCCATTAAAAAAAATAAAAATTATATAACAATTTTGAACTTTTGGGGTTTAAATGAAAAAATAATTGAGGAAGGAGCACTGCATTTATCATCTGGTTTTAAAATGTATAGTTTGAGTTCAATTTGGTCTTGTTCCTGTCCACATTGTCTGACCAAGTGCAAGGGATTAGGGGGGTGTCCTCAACTACAACTTAGAGTGTAACATTTTTTTTTAAGATCTATGTATTCTTGTTCAATTCTTGGATTTAAATAGAATTCCAAAGAATTCATATTTAAACTAAATTATATTTTACTAGATTTTAATGAATTCGTTGGACTTCAATGGATTTCTTACAATTACAATAGCATGAAATATTGCGAAAAATTTGTAACTTTGTAGTTTAAGATAACTAATTTCATCAATCGACAAAATCAAGTCAATAAATATCAACAAATTAAAAATTTGAAAATGAAATCATTTTCATTATAGTGTTGAGTATTATGTAGAATATATGCACTATATATATTATAACTAAAGATGTTTAGTTGGTGAATAGAGTTACAAAAGACCTATTTGTCGAAAATTCTATTCCAAATTTTAATACGAGTGAGAACTCAATTCCTCATTTCTATTTTCTACCACTTTGAATTTTGGAATGAGAATTGAAAATAAATATTTTATTACCATTAGAGTGTGCTTGATTGACATGGAAAATATCACCTAGAAAACAAAAACCTGCCCCTCCTAAAGAAAATATTTTCCTTAAAAATAAGGAAAATTAACCGTATTTTCAAAAGTTGGAAAATATTTTCAATGGAAATAAAGCTATCAAACACTCAAAAGTAGGAATTTAGATGGAAAACTGATAATTTTTCATGGAAAATAAATGTAATCACATCCTCTCTTAATTTGAATTTTAAGATATATATATATATATTTTTGTCATAGGTATAAATAATTTGACTATGTTTGTGGGCTTGAAATCCATTGAAAACTGAGCCTAAAGGGCTTGGTAGTTATATTTATGGACTAGAAGTCCACTAAAATCTATAGAAGTTCTTCCAATCCATGAAATCTTTAGGAATCCATAAGTTATTGATGTCTCCTAGAATTCTAAAGAATCTATTAGAATTTTTTCCAATATCATTCACAATTTTTATGGCGACTTTTACCTAAATTTGAAAAGTTAAATTACTTGCATGTGTAATTAGGTTAAAAAATGGTAGATATATTCTGAGTAAAATTAAAATGTATCCAAAAGAAAATGGTTGATATATCTCACCACTATTTATGGAAATACCAGGGAGATGTTGGCTTCAAACAATAAAAGTGACCGAATTTTTCTTTGCAGATAGTGCTGTATCACCAGCCGTTTTCATTGTATTGCACCTTTCTATCACTCTGGAAAACGGTCTTTTTTATTTATTGGATTGAAGTATCGGATAATGAGGGATGATATTGACAAAGATACCTGAGAGATTCTGTACTGCTTGAGAATTTGCTTGGATGTTTGTAATAATGAACTAGGGTTCTGACTTTCGATTCTACCCTTTGCAAGTAAACTATGGTTATGGTTTTCATTTACGCTAAGCAAATGCAATTCTTAATTGTTTTTTTGTTTCGTGTGCAGTCTGTGAGCATAAATGAGTTTTTGAAGTCAGCTGAAGGGGAGTACTACCGACCTGGCGGTCGTGGCAGGGGACGTGGTCGTGGCAGAGGTGGATACGCTGGAAACAGTATGAACAGTCTGCAAGCCCCATCTATTGAAGACGCTGGGCATTTCCCTTCCTTAGGTGGGAAGTAAGGGATCTCCATGGCTCCGCCTTCCTCCCAAGCTCTTTGTTTTTTTGTGATTTTCCAATGTTCAGTTGCTCGGGGGTGACAGGATACATTGACATGGACCTGTGAGTCAAGTAAAATCACCATGGAAGGCTTAGTCATTTCAGAGTGTATATTTAGATGTATTCCAAGGGCTTATACCCTTGGTTCTTCCTGACTAAATGAATAACTAGCTGCTATATTTAGAGCATTAGGAGCCTTTTTTTCTTGAATAATTTCATGGGATCAGTTTTCATTCTGGGTTTTGATTAAAACAGTTTTGTTCCTTTTTACTTCAAGGTTTTTCTGTGTACACTGTTTTCTTTGATGCCGGTCCTAGAAATTCTCTGTTCAAGCGCTTTGGTGACGCGAGCATGGTTAGGGACCATAGATGTCTAATTGTTGAGTCGGTGTGCGTTAGATGCATGTATGAGATGCTTATCTTGTCAAATCAAAGCTGAGGAAAAATGGCCGCTCCAGGCATTAAAATTAGGATATACTTCGTACTAGTGGCCAAAATTTTGGTGTGTTTGGTTCTCTATTTCCCGTTCAGGTCATGGAGTGTAAAGCTAATCTGATGCGAGAGTAGAACAGTCTAAATACAAACCCAAAATCTGCAGTTTTTAGACATATACCTGCCTTGAGAAATGAATAAAATTCAGTTGCTCAAAATGAATGAAAGCACTCTCAAATGACTCTCTCTATTTTTTTTTTATTTTTTTTTCGTCGTTTTCATAATAATTCACTTGGAACCCTTCGTTATATGAGCAAGTCTGGATAAAAAGGAAAATTGAGAAATGAGAAGGAAATGGTGTTCTGCATCTTCCTAAAAAAAAAAAGGTTGAATCCCAACCTTAAGGGTCCTCCACCGTCCCTGTCCTGAAATATCGTGAGGGAGGTAAATAGCAAATTATGCTTCCAAGGGTACAGGGTGGAAGGCTACTTGGTGTTTTGCATCTTCCTCAATATCACATCAGGAGGCCTAATATGTGGGAATTTGAACTACTTTCTAAGGTGGGATGGTGATATGGCAAAATTGCTTGCTTGGTTTAGTTGGGGTTGTTATTGACAAAGTGCTTTTTGGGTTAACTTTAACTTCAATTGCATATTTCGTAGAATCATAATTAATACTTATTATTATCTGCACATTTCATAAGCTTCATATAATCTTCACAACTCCTTTTTATTTACTTATAAATTAAGCCAATTCAACATGCACGCAAGTCTTACAGTGTGGTTGTAGCATGGTGAAAGGGTTATTTAAGAGAGTAGGAGACCATGGATTAATTTGTATAGACTATGACGTAGAAATTAGAATCACTATTGAATTGGTGTGAGTTGCGCAGTGGGCAATTTTCAAGTAATCCTTAATGTTTTTGGGTGTTGTTGGCATAATCAAGTGACATATTAGCTTAAGGAAACAAATTGTTGATATCCTTTTATGATTCGGAGCTGGATTTTAATGAATTTTTGTTAGATATATTTTTAATTAGGGATGGCAACAGGGTAGGGCGTGATTGAACCCGACCCGAACACCTTATTAAATGGGTAATTCCCGTCACGTTTGGAGAGGGACATCGCCAGTATCGAATTTGATAGATTTTTTTGCCATCTTAATTGATGTACCCTTTCAAAAATTTCAATTTTAGATGGGTTGATGTGATCAATAGTTTGACATGGTGTGAAGTTAGTCTTGACACATGTCAAATCGATAAAAAAAGGATAAATTTTTTGTGGTTTTTGTTTAGAAGAAAGAAATGGGCAGCTTTTTCTTCAAAAGAACGGGTAAGAAAAGAAAAAACTTATGCTGATCTCTATCTACTGCTTGGAAGACTGTTCATGGAATTTGTTTGATACCATGTTGTAATTGGATTCAAAAGACTCGTTCTTGCTAACAAAAATTATTACATAAAGGTTTGTTCGGGTGAGTTGGCGTCCACGTATACAAGTTTCTTAATATTTGGACAATTTTAATTGTCACGTCACTATTCCGTCTTCCACGTAGACACATCCACGTATTGAATCCATTTTGCGATCATTTTAGTGCGACGGACCTAAGTTCAGTGGCTATTGGCAAGCTTCGTGAAATTGGTTGGGAAGTCCTAATAAGATGTAAAGTTGACTAAGGAAAGATTTTAACTTAGACTAATCACTTAAATAGTCAACTTCTTCTCAAAAAGCTCGCACTTTATCTCAGGTAATCAATTTTCGACTGTTCACGAAAATATTTCAAAATTTAACCAAAACATGGTAAGAGCAGTAGAATGAAGATGATTTTTTCTGAATCGAAGCTGTCATTCTAGCCATGACAAATGTATAGTCTTTGGATTAGACTGAAAAGGAATCAAATTCCCTTTTTCTTTTTGAGAACTTCCCAACCATTCAAACACCGAAGTTTTTACTCCTCCATTTCGACATCCCAAGATCCTGATGCTAATTCAAACCCACAAAAATTTGTAACCGATTCTTCACCACATTCATCAGCACAAAAATTTGGAAACAGACCTTATAATCTGAATGAGTTTAACTGCATAGTGCTGTCCAACAAGAAAATAACTTCCTATATTCGATGTGGAGACTTGGGTTCAGCCATAAGAGTGTTCGAAAACATGAAAATGAGGACTACAGTTACATGGAATTCAATTCTTGCCGGAATTTCAAAGCAGCACGGAAGTATTAAACAAGCCCAGGAGCTGTTTGATCGAATTCCTGAACCAGACACTGTGTCTTACAATATTATGTTGGCTTGTTATTTGAATAATTCAGACGTTGAGGCAGCTAAGGATTTCTTTGATAAAATTCCGGTTAAAGATACTGCATCTTTAAATACTATGATTTCAGGATTCTCACAAAACAGGATGATGAGTGAGGCTAATGAATTGTTCTATGTAATGCCAGAGAGAAATGCTGTGACATGGAATGCTATGATATCAGGTTATGTTGAAGCTGGAGATTTGCAATCGGCTTTGAAGTTGTTTAGAAAGGCCCCGGTGAAGAGCGTGATAGCGTGGACAGCGATTATAACTGGATATATGAGGTCTGGGAAGGTTGAATTGGCAGAGAAGACATTCCAAGAAATGCCGGAAAAGAACTTGGTTACATGGAATGCAATGATTGCAGGTTATGTCGAAAATGGTAGAGGGGAGGATGCATTGAAGCTTTTTAGGACAATGGTGGAATTAAAAGTTAAGGCTAATGCATCGAGCTTGAGTAGTGTTCTATTGGGTTGTAGTAATTTGTCGGCTCTGAAGTTGGGGAGACAAGTTCATCAGCTTGTATGCAAGGCTCCATTGTATTTGGATGCAACAGTGGGGACTTCATTGATTAGCATGTACAGCAAGTGCGGCGAATTGGATGATGCCTGGAAATTGTTTCTTGAGATGTCACTTAAAGACGTGGTCACTTGGAATGCTATGATTTCAGGGTATGCTCAGCACGGGAATGGGGATAAGGCGCTTAGTTTGTTTGATGAAATGAGAAATACAGGAATGAGGCCGGATTGGATAACCTTTGTTGGAGTTTTATCTGCTTGCAACCATGCAGGATTAGTAGATCTTGGGATTGAATATTTTGAGACGATGCGCGAGGATTATGGAATTAAGCCTCGACCTGATCATTATACATGTATGGTTGATCTTCTTGGTCGAGCTGGTAAGTTAGCTGAAGCTATGGATTTGATAAAGAAAATGCCCACCAAACCTCATGCCGCTATATTTGGAACACTTCTTGGTGCTTGCAGGATCCATAGAAACTTAGATGTGGCAGAGTTTGCCGCTGAAAACTTGCTCAGTCTTGATCCACTCAATGCAGCTGCCTATGTTCAACTTGCTAATGTTTATGCTGGGAAGAAAAGTTGGGAATGCGTTTCAAAAATTCGAAGATCTATGAAGGAAAATAAAGTTATTAAAACACCGGGATACAGTTGGATTGAAGTAAAGAATGTCATCCATGAGTTCACATCAGGCGATAGGCTTCATCCGGAACTGGAATACATACACGAAAAACTTAATGAGCTTGAGAAGAAAATGAAATTGGCTGGTTATGTGCCTGATCTTGAATCTTCTTTGCATGACGTGGGGGAGGAGCAGAAAGTGCAGCTACTTCTTTGGCACAGTGAGAAGCTAGCAATTGCCTTCGGACTAATAAAAGTGCCGCTAGGGACGCCAATCAGGATTTTCAAGAACCTCAGAGTGTGTGGGGACTGCCACCAAGCCACAAAATTTATATCAGCAATCGAAGGTAGAGAGATCATCGTAAGAGATACAACGAGATTTCACCATTTCCGGGATGGGAAGTGCTCTTGTGGAGATTACTGGTGAACCTGAAAACGGTGGCTGTGATCCATCCAGTGCAACATACCACAAGTCCAATTGCACCTGACTATGCAGGTATTTTTTCCTTCTCACACTTTGCCCCCCACACTGTGAAAATCCATTCTCAGGGATTCCCTTTGAGACCAAGAAATAGTTGACACACCTTAACTTCTGTCTAGATTTTTGCACGTAGCGAAGAAAGGGGGACAAGCTACAGAGTCGTATGCTGCATTCGAGAAAGTTAGGTTGCTCCTTAAAAGGAGTGTATTGATTCTCTCTCGATTGGTTGAAATTGACCGATGGTGTGATGATTTAAATTTTAGCAAGATCTTTGAGTTTGGGCTCCATTTTAATCAAATTTTGGGGAAAAATGTATTTTGAAATAATGATTTTTTTTTTTGAAGAATGTGTAATTAAAAAAGAAAGAAAAGTTTTAAATTTACTTATAATATTATATTATTGGAGAATGTGTAGTTAAAAAGAGGAGAGGGAAATCATTTTGGATAAAATAGGTCCAAACATGGCTAGATATGATTTCTGGTACAATATTTTCCCTTTAATAATATACCAATTGTTAATCTTTAATTATTACATGTTAGCCAAACATAAAAATAAGTTCAACTTAAGTCCTCTTTCCCAGGCCTTGTGTGCTTTCATATTTGGCTAGAAGCAAAGAGAGTAACGCCCTTGCAAAACAGGCTGTTTATCATTTTCAGTGTTGCTTTTGGGCAGATATGTCCCCATTTTTTGTGTAAATACTCTACTCTTCAGATGCTGGTGAGTAATAAAAGTTGCTATCTTGGTTTCAAAAATAATAATAAAACAAGAAATAAACTGAAAGCAGATACTGATGTTCAATCACCAAACTCCTACTCTGTACAAATGTTCTTCAAATAAAGTAATTTGAAAAAAATGAATCTTACAGTAATTGAGTCTTAAAGAACCAAGGGAAGAAACTAACTATACATGCCATGAACAGCGGTATAACACTGCAGTCAAATTTTCCTGTATATTTTTTTTTTCCATTTAGGAAGAGCAGCAACCAGAATTCTGGTTAACGGGTTGTCCTTTGATCTGCACAGTTGGAGGTCGGGTGGTGTCCATGCCTGGTTGACTTGCCATCCTGTAAGCAAACAAAGGAATGAGTAATCTGAATATGTTTGGATAAGTTACTTTTTTCTTATAGTGACTTATATACTACTTTGACTAAAAAAGAAATAATTTGTTCTATAAATAAGCAAGCTTACCTGTAAGTATTTCTTTAAGCTCAGCCAAATAAGGAACTTTCACAATACAATACAATACACAGCATTTAAAACTCCATAACCCACACTCTATAAAACTGCTATACCTGTTCTTGATTGCAGCAGCCATAGCCATGAAAGCTTCCTCAACATTAGTGGCATCTTTTGCACTTGCTTCCATGAAAGGAATCCCAAGTTCATCTGCAAATGCCTGGGGAAAAATGGCATTGTACTAATTAATCAGAACTGATTATGTTATTTAGCCACAATCATTCAGTAATGAATTGAACATAGATTCAAGCAAGCACGATAATTTGAAATACGAAGTGCATTAAAAGTTACTTTAGCTGTCTCGGATGACACAACTTTCTGTTCCATGAGATCGCACTTCTTTCCAACAAGAAGCTTGTTAACATTGTCACTAGCATATCGATCTATTTCATTCAACCATTGCTTAACATTGTTGAAGCTTTCTTGATCAGTCACGTCATAAACCACCAGATAGATGTACCCCCGAAATAAGAACATTCATCACAAGGAAACTACCCTAATAAGAATTGGCATTACTTACAATGATACCATGTGCCCCACGGTAGTAGCTGCTAGTAATTGTTCTAAAACGTTCTTGTCCAGCAGTGTTTTCACTGCATGTGAATGGCAGATTATACTAAATGAGAATTGAACCCGAAAATAAGAACACCACAACTGATATAGGGCATAATGACCCGGGGTAGAAGGGGCATGGATTGAAGCCATAGGAATGTAAATGCTATATGATCAACTTTAATTATTCGTAAAAATAGCAGAATTTTACACCACAAAATACCCAAATTGTGCAAAGAAGATAACTGACATCTTAAATTCATCACAAATCCAGAATGGATACTTACTATTTGGAGTTTAATAGTTTTTCCATCCTGTTCTACAGTGTGAATTTTCTGCATCAAAAAGTGTGAAATATTTACAAGAGAGTTATAATTCTGTACTTGTAGACCGTAAAAGGCACCATGGGACTGATCACTTACAAAGTCCACACCAATGGTACTAATGTAACTTTCAAGATATGAATCATCCTGAAAACAAAGATAAGCGATAGTGGGGAAAAGCATCAGTTTTATTTGGATATTTAGTCATGCCCTGAAAGCAAAGAACTTATCTACAACCTATTGACACTGTTCATCGCTCTATAGCGCAAACTTGCAAAATATAATTAACATATTTTAGGAGCTACTGATATAAGGAAAGAAGAAGACAACATGTGTAGGCTATGATGGTTTCCTTAAAAAAAGCATCAACATCAAGTGAAGCAAATCATGAACGGAAATCAAAAGGATAACCACCCCCACCCCTACCCCCAATGGATGAAAGAATAATGATAACAATATTAAGAAGTGGTAACACTGCAAATAGATAATCTCATCTGCTAACATTAAAGTTTAAAACCCTGAAGTATCATCCAAAGCATCAATACAGTTTTACGACAGACTCTAACATAGAAACAACTGGACCAGAAGTAAGATTTTAAAAGATCCCACATTTAACAAAGAAGGATGGTAAACGTATTAAAAATGATTAGGAACTTACAGCAAACCTTAAAAGGAGACAAGATTTCCCAACACCAGAATCCCCTATTAGCAAGAGCTTAAAAAGATGGTCACTGCCCATAAAAAAACACGAAGGTAAGTGGAATTTGTGAAACATCAATTTCTATTACATTGAACAAAATCCATAAATGTTTCATGATAGTTAAGTACAAAACCAAGTATAAGAAAACTTTAGACCCCATAATTTCATATAATTTTGAGACATGGATACAACAATAATAAATCATCAAATTATAGAAATGTTTTTATACAAAGCAATTCGTTAACTAACCACCACCATGATTTTGGGTAAACAGAAAAATATACTTTATGCATGGAAATTTGGCGAGAGATGTAAATATCTCAGATTTTCCATTTTCATGACATGTAGATTTGTATCTAGCAGTTAAAACAAGCGCAAGCTGCTTCAAAAGTCAGAACCACAATCTTACACGTTTACACCATGTTTCAATAGCTAGGGAAAATATGTAATTAAAAAAAAAAAAAAAAGGGAAAAAATGTAATTAAAAAAAAAAAAAAAAAAAATCAAGTAGAAACTTAGCACCTATTTCATGAAGCAAAAAATCAAATATCTAGTATATTTTGATAAAAGTTGATGAAATGTTGGTTGAAAAGTTGATAAAAGTTATAGATCCAATGGAATATGTGGTTGAAATTAATTGTTGATTTTCACTTAGCACCTAGTTCATGTAGCTAAAAATCAAATATCTAGCATATTTTGATAAAAATTGATGAAATGTTGGTTAAAAAGTTGTCGATCCCATGGAATATGCGGTTGAAATTAATTGTTGATTTTGACTTGTATTATCAACTTTTTTAGCTATACCAAACACGGGCTTAATATCTTCGAGTACAAGATGACACACATATGTTTAGCATCCAACAAGGCAGTAAACTGTTGGTTAATGAACTTTAATCATCACAATAGGAAATTAATTTTCCTTTGAAGATTAAAATCATGTAAATAAGGATTTGATTGACCTTAAGATCATTGGATTATAAAATCCTCACATATATAGAAAGGGGAGGAGATAACCTTTTTGAAGGAGCTATTAATGGCCTAGCCAATTGCTTCATCCCTTAGATCTTCTCCCTTGTTCTCCACTAGGTGTTTTTCCTTTTTGGAGAATGTGAAAAGTGACTAACCTTAAAATCACACCAAAATATGCCAATAATGTGCATATTTATAATGACTTATTAGGGTTTGAAAATTGCACAAATTTCCTTAGACTTTATTGTAGTAGGCCAATTAAGTCACACACCTTTTATTGGAGTCAAGAGAGGGACCTAATTGGACTCATATGACCCAAACTCCAATAAATGTTTTCAATTTGGTGAACTCTTGACCAATTGAGATACATCTATTAATCCGGCTTATTCGACCAAAAAATCGAGATTGCACTCTCAAGTCGAGTGATAGTTATAGAAGCAAATTATGATCCAATAACAATATCCTCTGATTATCGTTCCACAAGTCAACCCCCATTTGACCGTCAATATGTTGAAACTGGCAAAATGACCGTTTTGCCCTTCAACATGCATTACCCTCTAAGTCCCATTTTCATACGGCAAATTTGTTGTGATCAAATCACAATGTAAAGTCCAACGATCTCATCGTCCACCTACTGAGCTCAGATTCAATTTGCCTAGGAAAATACCTTAGAGTGACGATCCTCTCATCTCAATGATTAATGGATTCCAATATTGTAAGTATATGATCTCTAATTGTTTCGGCCCGATTCCCAAAGCACCGAGATCAATCGTCTATTTAAGACTTCATTCATTGGTACCTCAAAGAACTTGAACTAGCAATCAAAGGTACATTACTCACTCAGGATTTAGATGACCTGTTTGATAATCAAGTAGAGTTTCATTTTAAACGGTCACAAATGAGTCATTTACGCGGTCCCGTTCAATGTGCATCGAAATACATTATTGTTCCTATTTCAAGATCTAGACAAATTAATAAGAACAATACAATCTTATCAATATAAAGCTTCCAACTTTATGACCCGATTGTGAACGACATAATCGAAAAATTTTCCTTCTTTTCCAACAACTCATTTAAAAAAAAACACTGTTCCACCTATTTTTATTTCCAAAAAATGGAAGCCAAACGGGAGCTTAATGTCACTAGTGCTGTCACTTAACTTGATGTTAAATATCAGTGGTGCTAAATAACATTACTCTTTTAGTTACATATGGATAACTTAACATGGGAAATGAGGCGCGCCATTAATTTTGATGGAGTTTATTGATCAAATTTGAATAGAATGGTTTGATTGTTTATAAATTAATTTAGAGTTGTGTGATTATATTATTAGCCCTTGTTTGTTCCCCATTTTTTTCATTAAAATGAAAAATATGACCGTTATCCATTACGTCAAGTCACCAAATTTGAATTTCTATCTCTTGTGTGGGATTCATAACGATTATATTTTTCATTCTCATTTTTGCATTAATGTTTACCAAACGGGGCCTAAATTGAAATTCGGTAACTTAGTTGTAGATAGTGAAAGTTCAATGACTTCCAGTACAATTTAACCATTAACATTATAGAAGATTTAAGAAAATATGTTATATAGTTTGGTAAAAGAGTTTTAGAGTGTCAATCTCTTTGCCGTAGAGTTAAATGAATTTCTACCATCCATTCAACAGGATTAGAACTATAAATAGGGACAAGGTATCTTGTTCATAATCAAAGGATTAGAACTATAAATAGGGACAAGGTATCTTGTTCATAATCAAACAAAATTTCGTTAATATTCTCCCTTCATCTCTTACACGCGAATCGATATAAGTAGTTTGTTTGTGTGTTTTCGTTATTTCTTTTCTTTTTGTCTAGCGTTTGCTCGAGGACTAGAAAGGTATTTAGTTTGGGGTGTTTGATTAGTGTGTTTAACTCATGCATTTAGGACCATTTAAACTTTATAAATTGTTCGTTCTTAACAGTTTTAGAATGTTTTGATGTGTGTATTCATGTTATGCTATAGGTTAAGTGACATGGTGGCAACGAGTTTTAGAGTATGAAAAGAAACCAAAGAGATCAAGGAGAGAATAAAACTCAGAAGTATGTGAAGAATGTGAAAAAAGAGGCTAAGATGAAGAAAAACAAAGTGGGTTAAACAACAGAGGCAGTGCTTAATGCCTAGGCACTACCTAAAAAGCTAAGAAGCAGAATTTATGTAGAGTTGAAGTGCCCACGCGGCTGAGCAGTCGAAAGAAAGCATAAGAATTTCAAAATTTGGGCGCTCGAGCACTGCAAGTAGGCACCACCCCAAGGTAGACAAATAGATAGATTTTCAGAGATCTGGTGCACAGGCTTTTGTAAGTTTTCTCATGAGGCGCCCAGGCACCACATCCATAACACCTTGGCGTCAGCTGCCATCAGCTAGTTTTTTTAAGTTTAGTTCACCTTTTAAAAGTCCAATTTCAATCCATCACGTCTAGAACTTCAAGAAGGCATAAATACAACTCTTGAGGTCAGTTTTCAAAGATGCTCGGACGAAGCAGAAGCAAGAGAGTGAAAGCGTCAATGAGAAGACGATTGAATCAAACTCCCCAAACAGTTTTTCTCTATTCTTCTTCTTTATGTTATTAATCATGACTTTGAGATTTTCTCGTTCTTCCATCATGAACTAATTCTCTCACCTAAGGTTTGATGTAATCGATACATGAGACAATTTTTTATTTCCAAAAGTTATTTCTTTGAGGTTATCCATTAAGCTTATTTGTGTTATTTATATTTAATACTTTAAATTTACTAGCCATTGATTGAATGATTTGATGTTTAAGATTAGATACTCGAGAGAGAAAATCTTGAATTGATTATAAAATAACAAACCTAGGTTTTATAGTTTCAAAAAAAAAAAAAAAAAAAAAAACTTATAATAGAGGTAGAATTTTTAATAACACTCCTATAACAGCATTCGGGAACATGCTATTGGACATGATAGATGGCATTCTTCGCATGCTATAGATGAGTTGATATGTTTTTGTGTGGTCAAGTTTCACATACTAAAAGTTCAATATTTTGATGTCAAACTAATCTTCAATTACCCTAATTGAAACAACAAAGCAAAAAGGAAATAAAAGAAAGTTACATAGATAGGCAGTATATCTTCCAAATCCGCAACTCAAACCTGATACATCGTTCACACAACACAACGAACTTGCAAAAATACACAACAAGTTGAAGTGTAAATTTAAAGAAAACACAATTTTATTGTGGTACAATAAATGCAAAAGAAGATCCCAATCGTGAACATTTGTTTAAGCAAGAAGTGCAACGCCATGATTTTCATGCTGCATTAATTACAAGGAGCAAGGTCTGGTGGGGATCCAATGGATGGTGCCGGGGGAGAGTCAGCCATATTGGCCCTGGTGATGGCTCCAAAGCTGGAGCCAGAGGAGATTTGGCCATCCATTGTCCCTGGTGATGGTTCTGGTTCAGGAGATTGAGCTGCTGAGAATGCAGCAAATGTAAGTAATAAAGATAGCAATATAATGGCACGGAAGGCAGCCATGAATCTGAAAATGGAGACTGCGTTACTAAGAGAATAGGAGACGAGCAAAAATTTTAATTAGGCGAGCTCGTGATGGTTAATGAGGGAGTTTTGAGGTCAATATATAGAAAGCGTGAGGAAGAGCTTAATGTCATGTAGTCACGATATCATATTCTACATTGAATATGATTAATAAGGAAAGAAAGACGCACTCGGGACATAGCCTAGTGGTGCAAAGGATAGGGGTGAGGTTATCTCACGCCTTGCTGGCAGCCGCAGTGTGGGGGTTCAATTCCTGAAACATGAAATTGGACTCCTTGTAGGCGCAGCCTACAGGCAGGTCTTGTTCCCTATCCTGTTGAGGCACATCCCACGATTTACGTCCCTCACAAAGTTTTAGAGGTTGGGAGGTGGGGCCCTGAAGATTATGGTTCAACCTTTTTTTTTTTTTTTAATAAGGAAAGAAAGACACGATGGAACAAAAAATTTTGGGTTGTTAGAAAGTCTTTTCATATTTATTAATAATCATGCAATCTTCAGTTGTTGAACTAACAAT